TAAATCCCCATGCTTGGAAAAAATATGTTAGTATGTCTTCTCCTTACCTCATTCTAATGCCTCATCCGAGCGCATTTTTAGCCTGATGAGAACTGCCTGGAAAAAGAAAAGAAATCGGATCGCTTTACCAACATTAGATGTCGAGCTAATGGTTAAACAAATATATAATATGTCATGCTAGAATTTTATAAATATCTAATAACAACAGTAAACATTTATTTCTACTAGTAGAAAGCCTGTCAAAAATGACGGGGAATGAGATTTTTATTCATTTTTTACGATAGATGTCATGCCAGGTTCAAGTTCACAATATTAAGAAGCATCCAAGATATTATAATTTTAAATAAGTTTATCAAGCCCAGCTCAACCCTTAATAATTTGTAATAGATATTCTTAAGTCAGGTGCAAGCTAATATTAATTTTAAGGTTCCAAGCCCAGTCCTACCCATTATAATTTTGAAAATTTTTTCCCGCCTGGTAGATAGTTAAATTTTTAATATCATCACATAAACGGGAAATATCTGATTTACCAATTAGTCTAATATGGAAAAAAAACATGTAAATTCTGTATTAAGGGAAACTGGGAAGGCCTCGGCAACCACTTATTAGAGAATCATGACAAATAAAATAAAAATAACCGACTCTTATACTTTTTTGTAATATGATTAATTAAAATTATATCTAAAAAATATGTTGTCTATTATTTAAGGTTATTGTTGTTTTTCAGATAAATTTAATGTATGTCTTGCATTTCTGAAATTATTTGTCAAAGAATTTGATAAGGGATATATATTTTTTTATGTTAAGTAAAAAAAAATGCTGTCTATTTAAATTACAAAAATGCCATTAAACACTAATGAAACTTATATGCAAATTATTTATATATTTTTTAAGATATTTTTTAAGATATTTTTTTTTATTGACATATAAATTTAGGATAATTTTTAAAAAAAATAATGAGGAATATTTATTATGTATTTTATAAAATTAAGAGCAAATCCTTGTTGACATTTTAATTTTTGATAGAAAAAGTGACAAAACAAATCTGGGCGGTCGTCTGGAGAGGAAATAATTAATGTATAATTTTATATCATTTAGGGTTGTAGATGAAAGTAATGACGGATTACCAAAGCAGTGTACAAAACACAATATGTCATAAAGATGATATGCCCATGAACGCAAAACGATATTTCTGTCAATGTCAGCATTGGTAACCCCCTTTAAAATAGAATCATGAACGACAATGTTAACTCAACCATAAAAGGTCGTAAGTATTGTTATAAAGGCCACGACAGAAATACTGCATATTTTTCCATTAATAAAGTTGATGAAATTGGCCGTATTGTACATTCAAGTTTGAACATTCCTCTCTCTAAATATTCATGAAAGTTTCTCAGAGAATCGGATAAAGTAATATTTATATTAACTCCTAGTGAAGTGAATGATAGTACAGAATTAAATGTTTATATTTGTTAAAAAATAGGCGGAGGTGGCATATGGATTGTGGTAGTGGTGATAGAAATAACATTTGGAGAAATGGGTGAAAATAAAATAAACATAGATATAAAACATAAGATAAAAAAAAACAAAATAAACCTCCAGATGAGTTCATTTCAAGCGTAGTTCATTATTATTTTGTCTACCAGTAACTCTAGAACGGGTAAGGAGTTTGTTTAATCGTCATTAATTTCTTTGCTTATCTTTAATAATAGATTCATCATGTTTTGTAGCAATGTGAGGGATTAGGGTTAGCCTAGACAAATAAAGAAATCAGGCAAAAATATAAATAAACTATTGTTGAAATTAAACAAACATTAAAATAATGTAAAACCAATAGATGGGTCAATATTAGATGCATATTTCTAGTAGTTGGAGGGCTATCATCAAAAAAAATTTTGGGGGACTTATCAAGCCTATTAAGATATTCTAAAAGTGATAAAATAATATGATGAATGTAATGTTATTAAGATTAAGGTTAATTAATTGTAAGGTATTAAAAAATAAAATAAAAAAAGGGGGGAAAAAGAAGGTATAAATTATTATATTATAAAAATTAAATTAAAGGAGTTGATAAGTTTTGAGAAATAGTGGTTAATAGATAATAGAGATAGAAAGAAAAGAATGAGATAATAAAATTTAGTGATAAATAAATTCATTAAGGGAGGGGAAAAAATAAAGAAAGAGTTATTTATAGGGATTGGAGATTATAAATAGGTTAGGATAAAAATATTTAAATATACTTGGTTATCTTCTTAATTATTTGTTAGAAAGAAAAATATGAGTATAAAAAGATTTCATTAATGTGTAATTGATAATATGAGATAAAAATTGATAAGGTAATATAAAAAATAAAGAAAGGATTAAATGAAATAAAAAGTTTCATTCATATTTACAAATTTGAGGGAATATTGTTTTTACAATTCATCCATGTTAGGTATATGTACACCATCAATTCCATTCATCTGTATGAATAAAATAAAATCAACAAATAAAAAAAATAAAAATAAATCCGATGACATGACGTAGCGATGACATGGCGTAGCGATGACATAACGTCACGATGACGTAGTTAGGACATCGGAAAATTATAATATAGATTATTTAAATTTCAAATAAAATATAATTAAGTTTTGGCGCCATAAAATTTATTGTAAATTTTTAACTGTAAAGATGAACACATCTGCAGCATAATTTTGTGAATCTTTGTTAAAATTCTTCTGATTGCAACTACACATTAACAGCATGGTAGATTTCTTACATGTGAAATCATTCATAATACCTCTGCCATTCATTATTGAAAAAAATTTTCAAAATGTTAGAACCACTTTTATAATCTTTATTTAAGAAAAATTTTTTTAAAGGTTTATAAAATTTAAAAATTCTATCGATGGCGGGTATTAGGAACATAAAATTCTGTAAATACACTCTGTTTTACCAAATTCACTGAGGCATTATCAGATAAGAAAGCTGACATGCAATTTATTGATAATCTCGAATCTGCTCATTATATGGTTAGCTATGTTTTTGGATTTTTCACTATTTGAGGGGAAATATTTAATAATTTTATAAACGACCTTAATTTTGTTGAAATAGCTGAGGATCAAGGGAAATATTTTAATATTTCCTTTATTAGATGCATCTGTTAGAATTGCATATGTATGCACATCTTTCAAAACGTCAAGAATTGACCTCCTGGATTTAGGTCCTAAAACATTGATGATAGCCTTGCTCATTTTTGTTCTACAAGTATTGTTTTCATTTATATTAGAGTCGTTAAATATTATGGGGAAAAGATTCTACCAACATTGTGATGATAAGTATCTCTTTGAATGTTGTACTACAAGATAAGTGGTTACAATTGCCGCAACTGTAGTTGCATCTGTATTATTTCTTATTTTTGGATACCTTATTATGTATTTAAACGTGATACGTGATAATTAAGCGCATATCCCTATAATGTTATACACCACATGGTAGATTTCCAATTGCGGTCGTTTTGTGGGACATTCGCATAAAATATATTTTTAATTGTAAAATTAAAATCGTTTTTTTTTATAAAATTTTATCTTGTTTACATTCTTGTATATTTAAAAAAGATCGCTGGTTTTTTTTATAAATTAATATATTTTAATAAATCTAGATGTTATTTGATTTTGAAAAATAGTTACCGACTTTGTATTTATATAAATTAATTATGAAAAAAAATAGGCGGATAATTAAGTCAATTCAAAATAACGCCCGAAGGCCGGCACTTTACGGGGCGAGCAATTTTTATATTTCTACCGCAATTTTCATATTTCTCCCGCATAATATCACCCGCAATTTGAAAATTATGACCTGGCAACCTGAGTGCACCACTAGACTTTAAGATTTCAGGGGGCTCAAAAATTTTTCAAAATTATCTTCCTTTTTTTAGCTAACATTTATAAAATTACAATTGATATGTATAAAAATTTTAAATTTTGAAAGGGCTAAAATTTTTCAGGGGTTTGAGCCTCTAGTGACGCTACTGCTTTAGGCACTTAAGACAAATCTCCTTAAAAGCAGGACACTATCATATATTCTGTCACAATATAAACATCTATTTCCCCCTTTTTTTATTATATATAATATTTTTAATCTCAAAACTATTATTATTGTAATATCTTGTAAAATTATCATGATTATTATATTTCTTACTAGAATCCATATTACTACTTTTATTATACTCTTTATTGCCACCAGATATTTCTTTGATACTTACGCGACTTTTGTGCTAAACTTCCTTATCTGCTTGTTCTAATGCAAGAGCAAAATTAAATATAAATTTGGTAGAAATTTATTTCCCTTTCTAAACCCTCCAGATGTGCTCAAAAATTCCCTTCAAGATTAGGCAACCATGTCATCTATACCATAGTTACATTTGGCCCGCAGTAAAGTTAGTTTATTAACAAATTTCATTAAGGGCTCTACTTCAGCCCTTTTAAGTTGAATAAAGTCCATATGGGTGCGAAAAACACTTTGTGAGGTTTTATAGGTTTTCTCGCATATTCTTTTAATTTCCATATATCTGAGATCATTTTCCATGAAGCTTTTTTTTTGATTGATTGCGAAAATAAGATAAAAACAAATCTTTAAAATCTGTGTCTGTCGGAATAATATTTTTTAACCAGAATAAACTTTCCCAACATTTAAAATAACGAAATTTAAAATAACGAATGATATCAGAATTCATTTCGTATTTTTCTAATTTGATGACCAATCAAAAAATTGGCGCAATCGCTAGGAAGATTAAATTTCCATTTATAAACGATACCTTGATTAAATTTTTAAATCATCATAATGTTTAATTTGATTTACATACCTGGTTAGAGTTCTATAAATTTTTAACAAATATATCTCTTAAATATATTGAACTTTACAATATTTTTATTTGTATTTAGATTGTCATTTTATGTAAAATGATGATTTAAATAAATTTTCAATATTTAAAAAATTACTTCACCTGCCCCCCACCCCCATGTTAGAAAATTCCTGGTTTCGCGCCTGCTTCCCTTGCTTCTATGGACGCTTCTTTACTAATTCATGTAATGATAAATAAGGCAATTATTGACCTGCAAACCCCAAAATGACGCTACTATTGCTATATTCCGGTGCTACCTTAAATATTCGGTTCGGTTCTATTCCATTTATTTTTGAATTCTCACCAATTTGTTTTTACAATTTTTTCATATTTTTCTGTATTAAGAAAGATTCCTTAAACACAGGTTAATATTTTATAAATTATTACTAAGTAATAGATTATATCAGGTTAGAAGGTTTATTATTTGATCCAGCAAGCAGTAAATTGTTCTGTTTTAGAATTTAAAGTTTCTTTAAGTACAGGTTAGAAGGTTTTATAATTGAACCAGCAAGTTTAAAATCGTGATGTCTGTTTTGTATCCAAGGATGCCGTCTATGGATTCTAATCCAAGCTCACAAATTGAGCTCTCAATAGAATGCAAGTATAAGATTTGCTGGAAAAAATAAATATTGCTTATAAATTTTAGTAATTTAAGGAATGCTGATTGGTTATCAAAGTCTGATCCTAGTATATCTACATTTTTAAAATAGTATATTAATAATTTCCTTAGTGGTTATAGTGTATATAAAAAATCATACATCCAAAGAGTATTTTCAGGTATGAATTTTTATAATATCATTAAATAACAGTATGAAAGGTTGGAAAAACGGAAACTGTTCAGAATTCTTTAAATCCCAAATTTCATGATAAAATTTTGCTTGACTATTATTTTGAGATGCAGCAGTTTCTCAAATTTGAAGTGTAAGTAAATTAAGTATTTTATATATTGATTTAAATATTTAACTAATAATTTTTGATTGCTTTGCCAATATTAAATAGTAGATCAGAACTGATATCTAGCATTTTCAACTCATTATTTTATTTTATAAATAATTTCTTAATAATAATAAATTTTAAAAATAACTTAAATTAAATTTATGTTCTTTTAAAAAAAATTGAATATTGAATTATTTTAAAAGAAAAGTTGCTAAAAATCTTATCTTACATTATTTGCAACAAGAGAAGGATTTAAAAATATATTTAAGTCACTTTCAGAGCTATATTTTAAAGATATTAACTTTTGGGAGAAAAATAAACAAAATACACTTAATAATTTGAGATAATGCACAAATACCTTGGCTAGTGTTATTACACTTGATTTAAGATTTTTAAAAATGACTAACTCAATATTTGGCCAGAAAACTATTGTCTAAGCCTCTAGATTTTGTTAATAGATGTTCAAACCTTTGTGCCACTTATGAGCAAAATCTTAAGGCTTGCATAATATTTTTCCTATAAAAATATTGAGATAGCCATTTTTAAAAATTAGCTCAAAATGAGCTGTTTAACAACACTAGCATTGGCCATGTGAGAAACATAAAATTTTAAAGTGTTATTTATTTTATCTATGATTTGCAGTTAGTTTTTCTAAATAAGGATCAAATATCTTATTTATATTTTATATATATTATGTGTAAATATTGGACTAGTGGAAATTTTGTGAATTGGCACAGACCTAAAAAATCATCAATTTTTGACCATTTTTAACCAAAGTTTTGCCTCTTGCTCTCTTATGATTTGGTCTACTGAAATATATTTATAATTGAAAATTGTTTTTTATTGCCAATGCCAATTATATACCTTTATGAAGAAAATAAATATAAAAAGTCTACTATTTTATAAGCCAATATAATTTGAAAATAAGAAATAATTGGCTTTCAAAAAGCATAATTGAATTTACAGATAATAATATTTGAAAATGGTGGATCATATATGGCAAAATTTTATTTATAGGAAAATGTCACAACCTTATGAAAAACTTATATAATTTTAGGATAAAAATCAAACAAATTATGAAATGTTTTGACCAAGTAAGAAAGAAAGCCAGTTATTATTATAATGGTGATCCCATGTAAAAACAACCAGTGTTTTAAATAACCCTCTTTAAAATTAATGCTTAGCATGATAATTATTTTTGTTAATTTCAATAAAATATGAATTTTATAAAAGTTAAAAATCCTGTATATTGTGATTTCATTAAATCTTATATCAAAAAAATAATTATGCCAGTGTTACAAAATATATACATCTTGTAGACCCAAATTCTATATAAAAAAAATATTGAAATATTTGCAGAGTTGTGTAGCGCGCTAATTAGCTTGCTAACTTTTTTGGTAGCTATAGCGGCTACTTTTTTTGTAATTATTTAATTTTTTAGTGCGCTACTTTTTTTGAAAGTAGCTAAATAGCTGCTACTTTTAAAAAATATAATGAAGGTAACTGTAAACATGAAAATTTAAATATAATATCATAATTAATTATAATTTTTATGATTTATCATTTAATTTTGAAATTAAAATATAATTTCAATTTGTAATTTATATTTTCCATTGCATTATAAACCTATCACGTGTTAATAATTTAAAATGTCATCGCCTATGGATATCCAAATTGTTGAAAGTGATTCAGACAATGATATTAATGAAATGGAAGATACCAGGGAAGAAAATGTTCTTAATAGCTATAATACAAATTTCCCATTCCCTAGATTTGAAATTTTTTTTAAATAAATATATATAACCAAAACTGGTTTCAAATTTATTTGTTTAAAATGTAAAAAAAAATATATCCTCAAATCAATCCAATAGCTATAACCTCAAGAAACACCTAAAGGTAAATTCTCATTTTTACATTCTAATAATATTTATTTATAAGACTGTTCATGAGTTTTAAGGAAATGGAGAAACATCTAAATTATTTTGGTATAGGCGACTCTACATCCAAAAAGACATTCAATTCAAACCAAATTAATTAATAAAGCAAATGACAATATTTCTCAGAAATTTGCTGATAAAATTATTGTTGATTTTATAATTTATACAGTTCAGCCAATGTCCTTAGTTGATAATCCATCATTCACCATGATAATTAAAACTCTATCTTCTGGTACAACAATTTTATGCTGCCAGACCCTAAAGAATAAAATAGCAGATAACTTTAAAATGGTGAAAGATGCTCTAATAGTAGGGTTATCAGAGATATTATATATGAGATAGTTGAACACATAACAGAAGGTAAAAACTTATCTATATTTATAAATTGATAAGATTATATTTTTGAGCTTATCTGGGAATCACAGGCCATTGGCTAGATCTTAGAACTTTAAAAAGAAGATCTGTAGCATTACCTCTCAAAATGATAATAGGATGCCAGACATACGATGTACTTGCAAATAAAATTATTGATAATCTATCTTATATTAAAAATATGTATATAAGATTAAATACGCCATTACCCTCAAGTGCTAGTGTCGAGAGATTATTTAATCAAAACTTATACTTTCTGATCGTCGTTCTAGACTTGAGGATGATAATATTGAGATGATTTTATTATAAAATGCAACAAATTAGCATAAATATATATTTTTATTACATAAATTTTTTTATAATCAAAACTAACTATATTTTTAAATGTTGATTTTTTATATATTTACTATACAATAACATTATAAGCAGTAATTTTTTTTTATAAAAAGTAGCTAAAGCTACTTTTAAAAAATAGTAGCTAATAGCGAGTTACTTTTTTTGACAAATAGCGATAGCTGTAGCGCGCTAATTTTTTTTAACAAATAGCGATAGCGGGTGCGCTACTTTTAAAGTAGCGTTTAACAACTCTGAGTATTTGTAACGTTTTGAGATTTATGTAGAACACCTGCTCTTCAGTTCAACCAAGCTTCAATCACTTAAACACGATTAAAACTAGAGCCCTTCATTGCATTTATTTTTTCAGTTCAAAGGCCGATACAAAATTTTATATTATAAATATATTCATCCAACTGATCCTACAATTTTTTAAAGATCGAGTCTCATCCAGAAATAAAATTAAGGAATACGTGTAAATAATTGTTTAGAAATGCAAAATGAATGAAACCTTCAGCCTATTTAGCCAGAAAATAATTGTTAAATAAAGACCAATCAATTTAAAGAAACTATCTTTTTATGGCAAAGTTTCCTACCAAAATTATTCGCTCTGACTATTTTAGCCTTTATCTCTTCCTTTGGATTATTTCCCCATTCCTAACCACCAACTTTACCTTCTTTTACATATTTTCTGTCCTTACTTTTCTTTTTTTTCAAAATATTTTTATTCCATTAATTCAAATAAAATAATAATTTAACAAATTTGAAATCCTTTTTTTTATCTTTGTAAGTTCAATTAAATAATTAATTAAATTGGGATTAAAATAAACCTGTAAATTGTGTGATTTCAGACTATAACTAATTCCCTTTTCATTATATACTGACAGATATTTAAAAAAATGATTCATCTCAATTTTTATCTTGAAATGAATTCACAGTAATATTTCTAAGTCAATTATATGAAGATTAGAAATTTGGTTCCTGTTTTTATGTATTATCAATAATTTGGGAATTACCGTGAACAGTATAGTTGGGTAATTCTATATTTTTAGCCTTTTAAGCCAATGTTTAGCCGAAAACTATCACTTTGGCTTTGGAGTTTTTCTTAAAAAATATAGCAACTTTTGAAAGAAACTAATATAAATTAAAACGCCTTAATATTGACAGATGGCACATGCCTGTAGGTTAAATCGAATTCGCTGACATTTAGCCATTAGTCGACTAGTGGACAGGGATATATTGTTATATTTTATTCTTTTAAATTTGGAGCTCATGAATTTTCAAAAAAATGTTATCTGCATATATGCATGAATTTTATTCTTGGATAAGCTATTTTTTTTATCTAAGCATTCCAATCATTTTTGTTATTTTTGCATGATAATATTTCATTATCTTTATAAGAAAAGAAGTAAATAAATTAATGATGTTTTTGTAATATTTGGCGTTTCTTATTTACTTTGTTTAAGTCAGAGACCTGCAAGCCCGGTTCTAAGGTTCACGGCCCGGGCCGTATTTTAATTTTTTAAATATACCCGGATCGGGCCTTATATTTTAAAACCAAATATTTAAAATAGCCATTATTCGCTTAAAAAATTATAAATAAATATAATATATTTAAAAACTGGGACAGGTCTGAATTTTTTTTTTGGAAAAAACTGGGACAGGTCTGAATTTTTTTTTGGAAAAAACCGGGCCGGGCCCGAAAATATTTTTTTAAAAAAAAATCCAAACTGGGTCTAATAATATAAAACCCGGGTTGGACCAAAATAATTTTAAATCTGAGCCGGGCCGTACTGTTGGCATCTCTTGAATTTATTTTATAATCTATATTACATTTGAATACAATAATTTGTTCTAAACATTTATGCATTTTTATTGATTTCACAATAATTAGAATTTTTTGTTTAGTGATTTTTCTAAAAAGCAGCTTTTTTTGTATTCAATATTCAAGTCAACGGCCCGGTTATTGACTGCGGTTCTGTTTTAGCATCGATTCCATGACTCGGGTTAGTTTTTGCAAGCTGTTTTCGACTCGGTTTTGTCTTGAGAAAGGCATGATTTTTTCTTATAGTATATATTATCTTTTAAGAATTGTCAAATTATATATAAAATTCAATCAACTTTAGTTCCTTATGAGCAATTATTTTACAAAGCAGTTTATTTAGTAAAAAAGAATTATCAAGCATTTAGTAAAATGTCTATAAATTTTTTTAAAATGTAATCTTATTGAAACTGTTCTTATCATTTGTGTTACTAACTTTTTTTTTATTTATAAAAGGGGGGGATGGTTGAAATATTAGTTTTTATTATTATGGGATGCCCATAAAATATGATTTAATAAATGCTAAATTTTTTGTTTTGTTATAATAAGTCTAGTAATAAATATGTTATCATTTTAAATTCACCTAAATTTTAAAATGACCTTAGGTAGGCAGGAGTGCTCGACCATGAAAAAAGCTTTAGGGGTGCTAATTTTTATTTTAGCTACCTTGTTATTTTGTAATGTTTGTTTCTGTTTTCATTATCATATTTTATTGTTTTTAATATTTGCAAATAAATGAAATTTTTCAATTTTATGAAATCCTTTGTTTTGTATAAGTATTCAAAATATATATGGTTTTTATGTGGACCACGGGGGTTAGTCTTTATTTTTACACTGCATCACAGTTAGCGCAAATTCATGGCGATATATACAAAATAGGGTAATACTTTGAAAATCGGAAAATCGGTTCCAGGCCTAACCGTGATCTTTACTAGTTGACGCATTTATAGCTCGCCAATCTTTACAATCGTCGGCTGAGATATAATTCTATCCATATTTTTATAAAATGCATTTTTTCGATAAATCGATTCTTCCATATCAATGATAAATATTATAGTGGAATATTCTAGTTAAAATACATGAGATACTTTTTTTAAAATGCTCTCATGAAATTTTTTTAGAACACTAATATTCATCTGACGAATTTACACTGTGGTTTAAGCTTCGGTCCTTGAAAATTCTCCGGACCAAATCGATTACACATCGAAATTGTAGAATAACTTATGGGGTATATAATATCTATTATTTTTTTAAAAAAATACCCGCCATTCATAAATATCGGGTCTAAATTTAAAAAAATATCAGCCCGATCCTCGATATTTTTATTGCCGCATTATTCTGCAAGAATATAAATTCCATCATATTTAACCAATTTATTTTTTATATTTCAGATCATTAAGTTATCATACACTTAGACTTTTTCTCTAAAATCAAAATACTCAATTATTTATTATAAATTGAACAAAGAACAAAAAAATTTTATATTTTTTTCTGCCCCAAAATTTGGTTTGAATAATTTTTTATTAGCGATATTTAGTTTTGTTTTTATTACAAAATGAAATGAAATGAAATTTTTTTAGAAATTAATTTAATTTTTATATTTATTTTATAGATATGACATTGATAGTAAAAGTCAGAAATTAAGTGATCATGTGAGAATCATAAATCAAAATACTCATTCTATATTTTAAAAATATAGGATTTTCTGGGATCTCTGGAATGCACTTTGGGAGAAATCGTATCAACCATCAACGCATACACCAAAAAATTAAAGTACAGTATAATTTTTTTTTTAAAACTTAAAATCAAAATTATTTTATTTTTTTTTAAAAAAAAATACAAAAATTTAGTCACTCAAATACCGATAGCCAAATCACGAGTAATAATTATATTAAATATATAACTGATATTTCTACTCTTGTAATTTAATAGAGAATAATGTGAAAGCCTTAATGTATAAATATTATAAAAGTTAACATACCCTATATTAGAGACCTGCAAAGGTACCATTTGCACGGCCCGGCCCGGATTAGAAAATTTTCTGACCGGCCTGGCCCGGATTTTTTTACAAAAATTTTTTACGGCCCGGCCCGGCCCGAGTTTAATAATTTTAGGCCCAGCCTGGATTTTTAAAAAAATTTGACCTGATATATACAAAAAATTCATCTATTTGGTATTTTATCATATTTTTCGGCGGGTAATCATTTAATAAGCAAGCATATTAGCTAATGTTGTTAAACGGCTCGTTTTGAGCCGATTTTTTAAAACGGCTAACTCAATATTTTCGTCAGAAAAATATTGACTAAGCCTCGAAATTTCGATACTATATGTCAAGACCTTTGCTCATATGGCAAAATTTTCAGGCTTGCATAATATTTTTCTGGATAAAAAACTGAGTTAGCCTTTTTTAAAAATCGGCTCAAAACGAGCCGTTTAACAACACTACTACATATTTTTTTTATTCTAAACAGATATTTAGTATATTACAAATACATACTATAAAAAATTTGTGTAAATAATATTTTGAGATTATACTATATTAATTGTATTTAAAAAAAATAATGATATTTTAATTAATAAAAAATATAACATATAATATATAATAATGTATTTATTACCTATTATCCTTTGCGTATTTAATCCATACCAGGAAAACTATAATTATATTATGTAATAGATACTAAGAGTGTTAGCTAGTGTTAACTTTCACCCAAAATTATATTAATCATAACTATATATAATCATTATACCATATCTAATTGACAAATATAATAATTCATGTTGTATAAATTTTTAAAAAAATTTTACGGCCCGACCCTGTTATTTAAAAAAAAAATTCAGGCCCGGCCCGGGTATATTTTAAAAATTTAAAATACAGCCCGGCCTTGGTACCCGGGCTTAGGGCCGGGCCTGCAGGTCTCTGCCCTATATATGGGTAAAACAATATCATATCTATTAAAGATGCAAATTTTAAAAAATAGTATACAAATCGAAATGGATACCACTCAACAATCGTGAATCAAATAGATCGCCATTGCTTAAATTTACCAATTTTTTAGATAAGTTAAAGGCTGGTATTGTCAGTTTTCACCTTTATTATTATACTGTTTAATGTTTACGATATTTCTAGTTACATTTTGATTCAATAATGATCAGTTACCCAAACCTTAAAACAAAAAAATATCATAAAGACGGCATCATTAATAAAAATTTCTGAAATATTTATTATTAATTTTGAAACTATTCGTCAATCTAACAGTTTTAAGCCAAATAGAACCCATAAAAGTGTCACAACCTAGCGAGATTTGAGATGTTTGAATAATGTATTGAAGGAAATTAGACATTCTTGGGCCAATGGTATTACTTTCGAATGGAATTCATTGATAAAAGAGAATCTTCTAAGTACTTGTAGTAGAAAGATTTATTTAATAATCTTTACCGAATTCTGCCATTTTTAAAATAATGAAAGAGCCTTTATTGTCATCAAAAAAACCAAAGAACATTAATCTTGGTATGAATCCAAATGGATGCAGATAAAAATCAGTGATGAAACATGTGTGATTCAATTTTTAGCAATGTTGTAGTACAAAGTCAGATAAAAATACCTGACTGTCTTAATGAGACCCTCAAATTCCGATTTTTTTTTATATGGTTGTATGACGGGAAAAAGTCTGGGAATATAGGTTTTTCACTGACTTAAAAAGGTCCTTACATCTCATTAAATATTATGTTTGTTGAAAATTTTTAAAAAGAAAAGTGTGAAACCTTGATTTGAACTCTGCCTAAAAGAATTAAGCCCGTTATTAGCTTTGAAAAGCGGCGACGTAACCAAATATTAGAGTCGAAATGGCCACTATATGACATTCATTTTGATTTAAATACATACTACATATATTTTATCTTATGATTTTTTTCGATTATTTTTTTTTAGAAATTTTTGCCTAACATGGATTTTTATTTTTGATCATTATTAGATTTTCCCACTGATTAATTGATATAAAAATAAAATTGAAACGACGGCTCGGGCTTTTAATTTTTTTAAATCTTTTGGGCCAACCTGGATTTTAAATATAAATTTTGCTTTCAAAAATTATTCGCGGAAATATTTTTAGTCCGACGTTCTAATATGATTTAACATAGTATAAAATTGCAATAATTATTTATTTAAATTTTGTATATTTTTAGTTTTCGCCGAAGAGATCTCTGCCTGCAAAGTATTATATTGTCTTTATTCGTCATCTATAGCTGGGTAATGGCTAAATGGCTGCTTATTCTGCACAATCTATAGGCGCGTTCCGGAGAAAATCCGTTGAAAGGCGTTTTAATTTATATTAGTTTCTTTTAAATTCGAGCTGCTATATTTTTAAGAAAACCCCTAAGGTCAAAGTGATAGTTTTCTGCTAAAAACTCGGTTTCGCCGATTTATTAGCCGGTTAAAAATTGGCTTAAACGGCTAAAAGCATTGTAATTACCCAACTATAGTCTACATTTAATATATATATTATTTTTTTTAAATAGAAAAATAGTATTTAATTTTACAATCAATTTATAGAATTTCTCTAAAAAAATTTATTTAATTTTTTTGTATATATTTGAATCCTTATCAAATTTGCAGTTTAATTTTTTAAAATTATTTTTAATCAATTTTTCTAAAATTTAATATATTCGATATAATATGATCCAATTACAAATACACAATATAGGTATCAAAACAAATTGATCTATAAAACATTGTTAAGTTATAGATAGCCATAGAGTAGTGATACATGAGTATTAATTAACATTAGGAAAAATTTATAGAAATTTAAAATGTTATGGCCGGAAAATTCTTACAAAAAAATTTAACGGCGGGCTGGACTTTTCGTAAAATTTAAATGGACCGGGCCTGGAAAACCTTTAAATAATGGGCTGGACAACTTATGCAAAATTTTTTAACGGGTGTGAGGCAGATCTCAGATATATTAATCATTAATTTATATAGATCTTTGTAATTTTTTATTTGTTCCAAAAGTCCTTCTATCTCTTAGAAAGTAGACAATTCTATCTAGTCTATTCATGATCAATGTAAATTGCTAATAACCTATATTAAAAAAAAGACCAAAAATTGGTCCGATCCTATAAAAAAGGGTTATAATTTATATAATTAAATAAAGATTTAATTTATAATTATATTTCAGATAAAATTATTAATTAAAAATGAGAGATTTTTTTTTATGAGTAATATACTTGGTCAAAATTTGAAAATTATTTTTTTTTATTTGATTTCTTTGACGTTTCTACTCTACCTTCTTTTTGGTTAAGTGAAGGGTTCTATGAATTGATATTGATTAATTTGTTTATGAATTGAATTCTCATAAATAACTAAAAAATACAAATTAATTTTTGGTTAACATATAGTATTAACTCTAGAAATATATTTTAAAATAATATTTTTTTAACGATAATTCTCTCAATCTATTTTTTTCCTGTTTTCCGGAAATGAGATTCCACTGATGGGTCGAATAAATTTAAAAAAAATTTTTTTTAAAAAATTAGATGTTAGAACTAGTGTTAACTATTATTAAAATATTTTAAAAATGTATTTCTTAAGAAAAATATTTATCATCTACCTTTTCGGTTTACGCTTAGTTGACGGGTCAAATGTTAAAAAATTTTATAGTTCTATTCTACACTTTTACTTAAGTACTAAACGTCAAAAAAACTGAATAGAAAAAATATTATTTTTAAGCTCTCACCAATCACCATGTATCATGTATTATAATCATAAAAATATTTAAAAACAATACTAATTTTATCTGAAATGATATTTACAAATTTAAATCGCTTACGCCACCTAAAGGATATAAATTTTTAATGATATAAATTAAAAGCTACTTGTGGGAATGAAAAAATAACTTATAATGTGTCATTTTCAAAACATAAAAGATATTATTATACTTTTATCTTTGCATATATTTATAATCTAATATATGCTTGAAAATAGTTCATTTCGATTTTGAAATACACCATTAACATAAGTAAATTAAAAATATATAAATTATAATAGCAATCCATTTTATTTAGAATAAAATAAGATGCAAATATTTTGAAGCAATAAATTTTTTTTTAAAAACTGAAAATTTTAAACAAATTTGATGTATAGAATATAAATAAATTGCAATAATTTAAATTTTTAATATAAAAATTATGTTTTAATAAAAACTTTATTTTTAAATTTAATCGAAAAAACCTAAATTTTACTATAAATTTATCCCTATATTTTTTCTAAACATATCTTTAAGTAAATTATTATATCTATAGAGGGAGATTGATAAAATTGTCAATCTTATATAACTTCTAAAGAAATTTATATTTTCTACTATTTCACTTCAATAATAATATTTTTTTATTATATATATACCTATACAAAATAACGTAAAAACTCAAGTTGGGAACTCGAATCGTGAAAATAAATTCAAGTTTTGAATTGAGTTATTGCGAGTCAAAGCCTGGAGATCTCGACTATTTAACATTACTACTTATTAGCGTGTTTATGTAATACCCAGGAGAAAACATTGTTTTTTTTGCCCTCCCCTGAGTAAAATAAAGTTATAAATAGACGCGCGTCGGTTATCAAATCGGTTTGGGTAACAGGCCCGATTCTAAGCATGTTTGGGGGAGGGGAGAAAATTACAAACTGCCCCCTTTCCAGAAAATATTTTTATTACCCTGCCCCCCCCCCCCCCAAAAAAAAATTTTTTTTATAGGAGAGGAATAATTGCTATTCAAACCACTATCAATTTTAAAAAAATTCGTTCAAAGGTCTACTGAAAATAATATCAATGAGATGAAAATGATTCTCAAGTAGAACCTTTTTCCTTTAATGTCTACTCGATAGCATTTAACTAGCATATCATATAAATCGACTCCTCCCATACCTTTATTATATATTTTTAATATATTTGGTCTTGGCACAATATATTTTTTTGCTACTTAGTAACTATCTTTTTACATTTACTATTTGATAAACACCATAAAACCCAGACCTGGGGTTTGGGTTTAAAAATCGACTAAACCAGCACTGAGCACGAACCTCGAGCACAGACCTGTGGTTTAAACTAGGGGTTCAGATAAATACTGTTATTCCAAATAGTTCAAATAAAAATTTTTACCAAAAATATAGAAACAGCAAAATGCAATGATCTTTTCTGAGGTGAGATAGTAAAGCCCTGCTAGCAACTCAGCTTAGGGTTAAAAATTTTTCAATCGGGACCACTTAGGGCTTAGAAATACCAAAAATATAGTATTAAAATGACTTATTATGTTGGTTAGACGAGCGATTATTTCCAGTTATACCATCCTAGTTCTTAGATACGAACTTTCTGGCCGGATTTGTTGAATTTCATCACTATTTTTTAAACACTTATTGATTTTTTTTTTAATTTTAGAAATGTATCTTAGACAAGTATATTTGATAACATTAGTTTCTAAATTCGGCAAGATTGAGCTTGAATGGGGTATTTAGATGGATTGTTTGGGGGGGGGGGGGGTTGGTTACTAGCGTCTTTTTGTCCTGCCTATTTGAAGTAAAAATATATAAAATCTTCAATTAGAAAATCTGTTAACATTGAAGCGTTTTAATTTATATTAATTTCTTCAAAATTTGAGCATATATTTTTTTAAACCCCGAAAAGCCAGAGTGATAGTTTTAGGCTAAAACACTTGGTCTAGCCCATTTTTTAGTCGGTTAAAAATATATTTGGTTAGAAGTTTATTTAAAATTGTCATAAAATTAAAAAAGAATATTATAAGAAATAAAATTTTTTTAAAAAATAATGTTTTTCTCAACATTATCTTTAAGTTTTTAAAAGTAAATGTGTTATTTTAATTATTTTTGTAAACAAAATATTTTTATCTGAATGGGTTTTATTTTTAAAATTATTAGAACTAATCATCATAAAATGAATTATTAAAAATAAAATTCCCGTTTTTTATATTTTTGAAATTAAGCTTATTAATTATTTTTCAGTGTTGTGAATGTGCTGATTTAATATAACATCATGTTGTCGATTAAATTAAAAATAAAACCCATTCAGATAAAAATATTTTTTACAAAAATAATTAAAATAACACATTTACTTTTAAAAACTTGAAAGAAAATGTTGAGAAAAACATTATTTTTTAAAAAAAATTATTTCTTTTAATATTCTTTTTTAATTTTACGACAATTTTAATTTTAAACTTATAACTATTTTTAGCCTGCTAAAAAATCGGCTAAACCAAGTGTTTTAGCCTAAAACTATCACTCTGGCTTTTTGGGGTTATTCTTAAAAAGATATTGGCTCAAATTTGGAAAAAATTAATATAAATTAAAACGCATCAATGTTAACAGATTTTTTTCGGCAAGCGCCTGAAGATTACGCCGAGTTAGCTTGTATTTAGCCATTACCCAATTTTAGCAATTACACAAATTTTATAAACAATGTAAGAAGATTTTATATATTTTGACTTCAGAATAGGCAGTACAAAAAGACGCTTGTTTATAACCACCCCGCCCCTCCCCTAAATAAAAACGATCCGAAAGTATTCTAAATATTCCATTCAAGCTCAATCAATGTTATCAAATGTACTTGTCTAAGATACATTTCTAAAATTAGAAAAAAATCAATATGTGTTTAAAAATAGCTATGAAATAATCCGGCCAAAAAGTTTTTATCTAATTCTGAACTAGGATGGTATAGCTGGAAATAATCGCTCGGCTAACCAACATAACTCATTTTAATCTATTTTTTTGGTATTTCTAAGCCATAAATGGTCCCGATTAAAAATTTTTTTAGTTGCTTGCAGGTCTTTTCTATCTAACCTCAAAAAATTCCATTGCATTTTGCTGGTTCTATATTTTTGGTAAATATTTTTTATTTGTACTATTTGGAATAACATGAGTCATCTGAACCTCGAGTTTAAACCACGGGTCTGAATCCCGGTAATTTTACGATCAAGCAAATAACACTATAAGGCGTGCACAAACTTATTGTCATACCATATGACTATTATTATATTTTTCTTTTTATCAACATTACACACATAGCTCCCGTGACCTTCTTTTTTAAGTGTCCATAGCATTTTAACTTGCAATCTTTCATCCGATTACTTCAAATAGTCCCTACCACAAATATACCGATTTATTTTAATTTTTTAGCCAATGCTTCTGAAGAAATGTAGTTATCGCAAAAGA